ATATAATGAAATATTGCTACACAGATATTGCTTTGCATTACACTGTTAAACATAATGTCCTAAGACTAGATATAAAACAAAATATAGAAAACAGCTGGTAGTTATTTTGTATTATCAAAAGGTGTATAACATACTCAACACGTTTACCTCAGGTAAACAGCTGACAATTTTTAGTACTGTTGAGTAAATTAAAACATAATCTATATATGAAGCCTAACTAAATGATACAGACCACTTCTCTGGTCTGTAAATATCTCTGGCACAGTGTTACTGATGTTAAAAAATAGTTTAAAGATACATATTATAATTCAATCATTACTGATCATACACTTATTTTCACTCACCAAGTTTGTAAAGTTGTCGTTTGGAGCTTGTTTATCCTTCGTCTGCTTGATATTTTCAATAAGCCGCTTGAAAAAGCTGAAGCTATAGTTTTCATTCTTAGTTATCAATGGTTCAATCAAAAACCACAGGCAGCTAATTCAGATAAGGGAATTGAGAAAAACAATGTTAAATAATACATTCTACATTCATAAACACTAACTTTTACTTACCAGAAAAAACAAATTAAAAATTTCTTATCTCTTTTATTATGAAGAGCTGATGGTACCCATTAAGGAAGCAATAATTTTATAAAGGATAATGCTAAATAATGTTCCCCTTTCTTTTGTTATCAAATCCCTCATACATGTCATGCTTTGTGAAAGATAATAAATGACTCATTTAACAGATTAAGTAATCATATCTTTAAGTTCAAAGCCAAAAGTCTGTAAAAAAATAGAAATGTGACTATTTAAGAGTATTTTTATTTCTCTTCTTGAGCAATAATCATAAAACAAAACAGCCAGTTTACATTGTCTGAAGTTTTCCAATTACTACATAAAAAATATGGTAATCGAGCCAGCCAACTGGTTGAAGCATATTTAAATTGTGTATTTATATACATATATATATATATATATATACATATGACTTTACTACAGTTTCAGATCACAGAGAATTAGGAAACATATAAACTATGTATGAATTTACTAGTTTCTAGGACCCGCAGCACGAGGAAATATATATTAACTGTAGTTAATTTCACTAGTTTCAAGGACCCGCAGCACGAGGAACTATATATTAACTGTAGTTAATTTTACTAGTTTCAAGGACCCGCAGCATGAGGAAATATATATCAACTGTAGTTAATTTTACTAGTTTCAAGGACCCGCAGC